ACCCGTTCGTGCGTTCGCAGAATGCGCGCCATCTTGGATCATTTTAAATTTATATATAGCTATAGTATTATATATAGACCCATATATATCACACACACACATATATATAGTAGGACGAGGCACAAAGGTCCACTTTTACTTTGAGCAATTATGTGAAAACCAAACCAACTATATCACAACAAATAACACATATCAAACATGTAACTATCTAACTATATTCAGTAAAGGTACCAACAAATTCAAAATTCTAAAAATGTGTTTTTTCGCTGTTTTTAAAAAGCGAAAAAAATTGTCACCCGGTTCTTCTTACTCCGCAGGACGAGTAAAATGGGACGGTCATTGGGCATACCGTTTCAATGTCTTATTTCTGAGTTTAAAGGGAGTATGAGAAATTATAGCTATATCATTCAACCAATGCAAAATACAAATTTTGTGGGTACATTTTTTACAGAGATAACACTATAACCTTAATCTTTTATATCCTCTTCAAAATAATTCAGAAATATTCATGTACACACATAAAGGGTAGGGCAAGACACAAAGGTCGAATTTTATTTTGAGCAATCATATTATGAAAACCAAACCAATTATATCACAAAAAATAATACATATCAAACAAACAACTATCTGACTATGTTCAGTAAAACTACCAGCTTAATCATCATTGTAAAATCATCACTTAATTTTTAGAAATTTGTCATCTATTCCATTTTACCCCACATGCGGAGTAAAATGAGACCGCCAGGGGGCAAACAGATTCAATGTCCTAATTTTCATTTTAAAGGAATTTTGCAAAATAATTATTCATTACATTATTTGACTAAAATATAAATTTTGCGGGTACATTTTTACAAAGATGCAAAGATAACTTGATCTAGTATTTTTTCAGAATTATTTATCAGCAAAGTTGAAATAATTATTTAATTCATTTATCTTTTGTAATTAATATAACAAATCTTGTAGATCAAAGCGATTTGATCTTTTTATAAAATATGCGATTTTTATGTATTATTAAAAAATCGATCACAAAATATGACAAAACGATTTACAAATTGTAATAAACACAGCTTATCCAATGAAATAAAACAAATAAATTATGATGAAAAATATATTTAAAATCTTACACTTTCGGCGGAATTATATCATGTTTATTTGCATATTTTAATTCAGTCCATTTAAATATTTTCACTGAAACATTAAATTTATTTATCATTGACAAAAGCACTCGTGTGAAACAAACAATGAACGAAATATATTATTTTCTTGCGCATTAGGGCGGCTACCTATAGAATTATTTAGCTGATTATGAAGTTCAAAATGAATTTATCATGACACGTTTATAATTGCCACACATTCGTTTGCAGGCTATGTGTAAGCTTAAAAATGTTCTATTAGTTTTTCATACAAATGATAAGTAATTTAATATTATTAATTATTAAAATATCATCAATAAAATGATTTATAAAAACTCAACATAACTGTGCATTAAGAAAGCTTAAGAGTATCTGCCACGTTGAAACATTCGAGTTTTTTTAAGTTAACTTGCACATACTTGCACATATACTAAATTCACTGTTCAGAAAACACTTGCGACAAAAGCAGAGATTGCCAATTCACTTAAATCACTATATAAACTATATAAACTATTTTAAAAAATGTTTAACTAAAACTGACCGAGCTCTAGGACGGTCATACTACTGACTAAATAGGGCTGAAACCGCATATACAAAAATATTCAAATAGTTCGGCAAGTCCTAAATGTGTAAATTGATTTGTCCTTGTAGATCTGTGAGTTAACCGGGTCGAATTTTCGTATAAAAAAACAAAAGTTTTGAAATAGAATTTTGTGTAAAAACGATTTATGTAAATGTCTTTCGACTGAAATATTTGATAGTATAAGTAGTAATAAAAAATTACTTATTAAATACCACGTACTCATAGTGTATAATATTCAGCATTATGACTATCATTTTGAGAATAGAGTTTGAGCTTAGATACCCTTTTGTAATATTATGTATTAATATTTTTTTAGCAAAATTATATTAGGCTGTTTTATTTCTAAAACTATATGATTAAAATTGATTAAGTAAAATTATTCACATGCCATTTTATTATTTAAAACAATGGGCTGCGTTGAATACAAAGATTGTAGTGTAAGTATAAAAAGAGTAGATTTTTTTAACAAGCTGCTCTATCTTTTCACAATTATTACAAAGGTAGACAGAACATCTTTAACGCATCATACTCAATCCATCATAATTATTTATTATATCTTTTGTTTTATTCAATTTAAAAGTCTCTAATTGCATAAGTTTATTTATTACACACAGCATGATTATAAAATTATTATTTTTATTAACCGGTAATTACTGGTTGCATGATGATATTGCAAAAATGTGAGTTCCTGACGAACAAAACGTGATTTACTGTCTGCCGACTCATTGATAAAGTTATAAAAGATAAAACACTCATTAATTATACCGAGAGTCATTATTATAAACACTTACAGCCGACATAAAAAACGTTTTACAAGCGCTTTGTATGAAAACTTGAGAAAGTATAGTTAGCTGTTGATCGGATTGCAATTGAAAAATAATTATTAGGCCATAAAATATAATTATTATACAAACAATAACAATTGTTATACAAATATAACTACTTAAATTCATATTTGAATTAATTAATTTTATAGTTACATTTTTGTAAGTATAGTGTATTACGACTATTACGAGTGTAAATATTATTTAAATATGCAATGAGACTATACGACAATATAGAGTACCTCCTTGAAATCTTTAAGATAGATTTTTTACTCGCCTTATACTCCAAAATATTATAAACGTAAGTTGCTTATCAAACTGCATAATTCCGTATTTAAGAAACTTTAAGTTACAAAGATATATATTGTGATAAATTAAATAAAATACTCTCTTTACTAATTTCTTCGCCGAAGTTGAAACAAAATACTGCATGAACAGCAGCGAGATTTTATAGTTTGATTTTATAGGCAATATCCATTACATGGTCATTGCCGCATTAATGCCCTTGCATCATTTCATTGGCAATATAAACAAATCAGTGTTGATAATTAATTAATCTCTTTGGAAATCTTCTTCATTAAGTGCTAAGTGTAATGCAAAAACTAAAAACAAACAACAATAAAATATTTTCATTGACGTCAGTCTTTTGTATGTTTATTTACGAATGAAAATATGGGATTAAAATTTGTTGAATTGATAGATAATGTAAGAATTTTATTTAAATAATCGCTTTTGTTGCTGTAGTATTTTGACAAAATTAAAATCTATGTACAATTTTTGGCTTTCTTAAATAATAGATATGATTGATACAATTATCTGGCGCATTTGTTATGTTGGCAGAAGTCGTCGTATTGACAGTATTGATTGTGTGTGTGTGTACATGTATAACACATATTGGTAAATATTAGCCACAATGTCTTTAATAATTTTTTCAATGTTATATTAAATTTATAAGTTGTATTAAAATATATAAGCGACAAGATAGCAAAATATTAAAAATATACGTTCAAGCAATAAAATTATTATCTACGACTTATTTCTTTACTATGTGATATTCTAAATAACTATGTGAAAATCATAAAGTAATTACAAGCAAGCTACGGTCAACCACTTTTGGTAAAAGGTACATGAGTTTTTACATAGAACACAAATAAACAAGGCGACATGTTCTTCAAATGAATACACAACCCATAAATTTTGACAAAAAATTAAACGGGCGAGCAAGAGCAAAGCTCTAATTTTTGACCTTGGATAAATTACTATGTAAATCTCAGGACAATGTCACATCGTTTGAAATAAACGCAAACATGCCGAACGAGAATTGTAATTTTTTGCTCCAGTTTGAAAAGTGAAACGTGAATGCAATTCATATGAAAAAGGGTTTAAGACATTTATATCCATAGCGTTAAACCCTAATGCGGGCTGAACTTGTTTGAAATATTTCAAATATTTATATTTAGTGCAATAAAATTTGACCGAAATGTTTTTTTTTATTTAACCGGCTCGGTCGTCGGTTTCTGGAAACTCGTCAGTTCTCCTTGTCAGTTTTGAGAATTTATGTTTTGCATATATACATTATTGTAAAAGTTACTTTGTAAGGTTTATGTTTATATCCATCAGAAACTTCTATATGTTATACATATGGGCACAAGTTATATATACGTATACACACACGCACACACACACACACACACATATATATATATATATATATATATATATAATATATATATATATATATATATATATATATATATATATATATATATATGAAAAATATAAATGTAATGGGTGCATTTGTTACAGAGATAACACTGTAAATAACCCTGATCTGATATTTCGTCAAAAATGTTCATGTGCATAGTTGGAATAACTATTTAATAATTTACTACTAATAATTTGAATAACATTTTTACAAAAACATATAATTTTTGCATTTTTGTTAACAAAGCAATAAAAATTAATTGAAAAGTAAAGCTGAAAGTATTGGTTATTTTGACATGGTTATGGTTGTACCAAAATTACTCATTATTATTACATTAAGTATAAAAATTTATAGCGTTCGTATCAAGTTTATATATATATATATATATATATATATATATATATATATAATTATATATAAATACTTCTTCCTCTGTGTTGCTCTCGGTGTGTAATTTATGCGCATATACCAACGGACATTTTTTTTAACTTATTTCTATATACGTGTTCTTAATTAAAACCGAACGAAGAGAAATGTTTAGAATGGAATTTTTATTAAGAATTAGTATTATGCCGTATTTAATAAGGTATCTTTATTATAATAAATGCGAATGCATTATGTCATAAAATATATAAAAAACGTTTTAAAAATTAAGCTTTTTTATTTAGTCTTAAGATAATTAAACATGAAATTTATATTGCATTCGAAATTGAACCCGAGTAATAATTTTAATATTTAAACATGCTTTTACATACCTGATTTATATTTTGTGGTAACAGTATTGAGTCGGCATACGAAGATCCTGAAATTAAACATATATAAAGTTAAAATGAGAATTTTCATAGACATAGTATAGTTGAAGACTTAAACATATGTGTATGCAAAGTGCATAATTAACTAAATCAATTAACAATATTAATGCAAAACAAACTAAAAAAATAAAACTAAATAAAAGTATTAATAATAAGTAAGTATTGCAAGTTTTTTTTAAATCATTTTAATTTTGACATAGATATTACAATAGTAAATTAACTGTAATTTCTACGAAAACTTTCATTGATACGACTTCTCGAATTTTATAAATTATTAGATTCATCCAGTTTGCTGTACTTGAGAGATTTTTATGCGTTTTCGGGGATTTGGGCGAGACTAGTCATCCATGAGAAAAGTTTTCCTATAAAAAGTCCAACTTTAATGCGATATTTTCGTGCTATGGCTATACTGCAAGGATGATTTATTTTCACAGCAAAATATACTTTCCAAATCAGAAAAGTTTTAATGGTAACATTATGTATACCACCCTCAGCTTGCACAGTTATACTAACACACATATATTAGGGTAGAGTAGCGCTTAAAGGTCTGTGGTAAAAAGATCCACCACCGATATCTCAAAAATAAATAATGTGGAAATTTTTTACAAAAATATTTTAGAGTAGAGGGCAAAAGATATATATCTAGCTAAAATATATATCTAGCTATCAATTACAACATTATTATCAGGAGATGAATGTTTGGAGAAAAGTATTTTCTTTCGCTGTTAGTCTTTTTAGTTGTGAGCTCTGTTGTTTAGTTTACGGGACCTTAATATAATTTTTAAGTATGCGCCATTTAATTGTTTTATATGATGTATTGTTATTTATAAGTTAGATTCAACAGTTTTTTATATGACTTCTGTAAAAACTGTCTAAACCGTGGATGGGGTAAAAAAGAACAGTTGAAACTTTGCACTGGCAAAGGTGTAAACAATGAAAAATAGTAAATAAAAAAGTAAATCAATTTAAAAAAAACAATTTTACAAGAGATAAATTTAAAAAATAATAAGATATGCCAAAGTTATATACAGTGTTATTTTAATAACAATGAATATAATAATAATAATAAATAATACATTGGATCTATTTGCCACTTGGTTGCCCCTTTTTATTCTGCCTGTGGGGTAAAAAGGAGCAGGTGACAAATTTTCGAAAAATAGAAAAAAATATAGTTTTATGATGATGAATTATATGCGAGTTTCACTCTATATAGTCAAATATTTGTTTGATATGTGTTATGTATTGTTATGTAATTGGTTTGGTTTTCACAATATATAGGCTCAAATTTAAATTAGTCCTTTGTGTCCGCTCTACCCTATATACATACGTTTTGCATAAACTGACCAATGTATGGACATTTCAGTGTTCCTACAGTTTTATCAAAAATATTTGAATATTTATAATATAATAAACTTTATAATATTTGATGGTTTGAAAAAATAATGAAGAACTTATTTGATACCTACTGTATTTGCAAAAAAATCAATTATACATTATACAACCAGTCACAAGCTGCGACTTAAATCAAATTCAATTAAATCAAAAATGTGTTGTAATTTTTTAGAGTTTAATCTATATATAGTGCGCCTTGTCACAGACACAATGTTCTACTTTGATTTATAATAAATCCTTCAAAATCACAAGAAATTGATGAGTTTCTGTATTCTAGATGTACGGAACTTAAGAAATCCGCGACGCAATAACGGTACGACCGCGCTTTAAATTATTCACGCTCTGGCCGCACCCGCACGCCTCTGTGTGTGAAAATAAAACAGGACGCGTAAAATAAAACAAGAAAAAATACATCTTCCCGGTACGAATGGCGGGTTCATAAAATCCTATCAAATTCATTAGCTATCTCCTTTACGACTCCCGGAGTCGAGTTTAATTTGAGAACCGCTATACGGTAGCGATGTGCTACCACCACAGTGGTTAATCGCTCTCGCCACGGATTTCGGTCTGTCCTCTGATTGCTAATTAAAATAATAGATAGATCCACGCGGCATTAGCACCGAACGCGCGTTACGGCCGCGAAGCACGAATTCTTTCATTTCCTGAATAACAAATAGGCTAAGCCGAGATATCGCTGAGCAGGCGCTACGATCGATTCGTTCGACGTAATTAAGATGTCTTATATATTTGTTTAATTAAAATTACTTGGTGCACACTTCCCACCCTAACAGTTCTGGATAGATTAAAATTGAGATGAAGTATAAATAACCTAGTTTGCACTACAAGTTTCATGAAGCTAATCCTAATTTAACCCGCTATGGGCCGCAATTTTGTTTTGCGTCCAAAAAATTAGAAGAACAAAAATCAGTAATAACAAGCCTATATATGCAACTGAAAAACAAAAAAATCTGGTTAGACAAATTTTTGGTAATGAATTAAGTGATATGCAAGACTCTGCGGCCAAGACGAATGTGCCACTTTATTGATCAGCTATAATTATGTTAATTATGTTACCAGTTCCCTGAGACAAAAGTAAATTAAATGATAATTTGAGCATCCGTCTACGTGGAAATATTGAAATATTAGGTTGTCAAATATCTCCCTTCCGCCTTTTTGTATTATAAACCAAGAGCAAAAAAGCGGAAGGGAGATATTTGACAACCTAATATGTTCTAAAATACGATGGATTAGTCATAAAATCAAATCATACAAGAAAAGGGCGAGTGACATAATCTTCCACACTCCCAGGACGGTTGTGCCAGATAAAAAATAGCAACTAACACCAGAATGGTTTATAACGACTTTTATTTAGGAATATATAACACAACACAACATAATCATTTAAACAAAGCTTATAATATAATATATAACAAAACATATTTTTTTAAAAAAGAAATCTTTGTGAAATCTTTTATTTTCTTATAATGAATTTTCCTTTTCCATTTTATTTTGTATTTTATCATTTAGCTAAGTTGAGTTTTATATCTGTTTCATCTTCTCCCGAAAAAGACAAAAAATACATGTCACAACATTTACATGTCACATAAAACTAAACTAATTGCTGGTAATTAACTACTAATGTTTTACAGTGAAATAATAAACAAAGTGATCTATATATACAAGTAACAGTTATTATTAAAAGAAATCGAACAAAGAAACTTAATTTTGACTTTTTAAACGCAATGCATTCTACAAATCGTGTTAATATTATTTATCGTATTTATTTCAGATATACGGTTTAGCCATATTAAATTAATAAAATGTATTAAACAAATAAATACTCAATTTCCTCCACTGAGTCAATACAATAATGGAAACTTGTTCAAGCAAATATACTTCGTTTTCCTCCCTCTGAACCCTATTTCAAATTTAGTATAGTTTAGCTGTCATGACAACTGTCACTACCGTATCCTGGTACAACCGTACCCAGTCTCCCTTAATGTTCGCACTTATGGGTATAAAAATGTTATTTCAAGTTGAAAAACCTAGGAAAAGTCATAAATTTTGATATTAGTTGTCTGGACAACGTTGTAGAATTAAGATTTATTATGCATCATCTCACAAAATAAGCCATAATTATTTGGTAAAAAATAGAAAAATTTGAAATGTGAGCTGGAAGTTAGACGAGCTCATAAAAGGGTTAATGCATAATATTTTTTATTTGTAGTCACGTGAATCGCTTTCGATCGTGCAACTCGTTTCAAAAAATATGTTATTCCATTTTATTTTTATCTTCAGCTCTTCGAATAAGATATAGCTTAACGCACATTGTACTGTACAAAAGTCTTGATAAGCATATGATACCCCCGCATGTAATACTCCTAATACCCCGTTATAGTCGACGCTACGTTCTCTCGTAGGTCTGTGCAAAATCCCATCGTACGGAATATTTTACAAAGTGACGGCGGGCGCCTTTCCGTCACGGTCCTCGTCCCGCAATCCGCGCCCCGCGGCGCGACGCAGGAGGAAATTGTTTTTCGCCGTTTTTATTGCCCCGGGAAAATAAAACGTTCGATCGCCATGAAATTAAACCGTGCGTGATGCAAAGAGTGCGCGAGGAGCAGAGCGAAGCGGAGCGGCCTGGAGCAGCGTGGGCGAAAACGCCGGCAAGATGAGGAGAACAAACGACCGACCGTCATCAGTGATAGGCGAAATCCATGTGACGAACGATGTTTCCGTTCTGCTGAACCGGAAACAATATGACTGCGACGGTCGGATCTGTTTCAAGGCGGTCGTGATGCAAACGCCGAGGATTGGTCTGACTGTTTCTATCCTGTACAACACTTCAGTCCATTTTACAACGCTTGCAGAATTCAGACAACGACGTATTCACACTATTCGCAAGCATAGCTTATGCTCATGGCATTCCAATGAATTCTGATCTTACCAGCAATCCATATGCAAATAAGTCACCCACCCTAGCGCGTAAAATTTTATCTCATTTTTTTTTTGCAAAAAAATCTCCACAGAACAACTAGCAATTCTTACTATAAAGCAAATTAATCCTATATGTGCCGAATTTTTGTTTTAGGGATCGTTCAAATATTACGTAAACAGATTTATTACAATTATTTACCCTCCAATCCCCCTTGTCAGCAAAAGTAAGCAAAGCTCTTACCCCCTACCCCCATGCTTACGTAAACATTTTGCAATTAATGTAAACAAATAAAAATACTACCTATGACGTAATCATCATCCAGACTCCCCTGCCCCCCGTGCCAACCCAAAATAAGCAAATCAACAACCCCCCTGCCCCCCTATAGTGCTTACGTAATACTTGAACGGCCTCTTATATCCAGAAATAAAATAAGGAATCGAAAAAGTGAGGCACAAAAGTCCAACTTGACTGTCAGCAATTATATTTATATGTTATATGTTTGTTGTGATATAAATCATTTATATCACAACAAACAACACATATCAAACAAACAACTATCTGACTATGTTTGTTAAAACTCCCAGCTAATTCACCATTGTAAAAATGTGTTTCTTGCTATTTTTCAAAATTTTGTCACCTTGTCCTTTTTACCCCATAAAC